ACTAAAAAGGGCATACAAAGACTGAAAGGGAAGGGCTGAAAAAAAAAAAAAGAAGAAGTCTCACAAGTGTTCTTATCTATGACAATGGGTATTCCACAGTGGGTTAGCAGATGCATATATCTAAAAACCTAGGCCGGAAAGGAAAAAAACAAATCTAGAATTTAAAAAGAATAACAATCTGTTCCTTGACATGATTTTGTAATTTCTACTTGAAAACCATATGGAAAATGAACTTTATTTTAATAATAAAAAGAGTAACAGTGGCTTTAGAATACCTATTGCAATGGTTGTTTACTGAACACCTATATGCTTCATGTGTTGAAGTTCTGCTTTAGTATGTATTAGTTCTTTCAATTTAGACCACATGGTCTTTTTATTACAGAAGTGAAAAAATACATCTTGAGACACTTGATAACCTCCCCAACATCACACAGGCCACGTGTATGTAGCAAAGGTAGGATGTGACCTCACATCTTTTTCACTCTGTATGTTAAACTGATATATTGTTTTAAACTTTTCACTCTTGTTTTGGGCGCATGAGCTCACCAGAAAGAGAGACAGAAAGTGAGAAATCACCCCCTATGGGGGATGGCTATGCTGCAATCCCTTGTCCTCTATTCTCCTCTCGGGATCTTGGGCATGCATGCACATGCGCCTGGTGTGAGTTTAAGCTGCCAGGTCTGGGACTCAAACTGCAGTCGACCACATGGGAGTCCAGCAACATAGCCATTATACTAACTTCTGGTCCCTAAACTTGTTACTCTTGAAGGATGTGCAGCTAAACAATTGGTGACTAACACTTGACTTACTAAGTAGACACCTGTGGGAAACAGCAACTAACCACTTCACAACCAACTCTAGCAGATTAACAACAAGAAGACACCTAGCTCGAAGAGTCATGATAGATCTCTTTGATGGTTAAGTCATTCTAGATTTTCATGCGCAGAAAGAGACTAAAGAATAGGTTCTAATTGTCTGATAGTCTGTGGTGATGGTGTTGGGTGATGGTATAAAACATAAAACTAATGGCTCAGACTAGAAGAGCTGCCTCAAGCCATATCAGAGATGTACGGGAAGCCTTACGGTGAGGGATTTCCATTTTAGGAAATGTTGGAGAAGTAGAGATGATGTTTCTTAACCATCCAACTTAAAAGCATGCAATCCCAGGACAAAATACCTATTTCTTCCAAGGGACTAAATTCATACATATACAAGAAACATATCTAAAATGAATGAAAGTGTATTACTGTAGAACGGGTTTGTTTTGTTTGTTTGTTTTTTGGAGAGGTTTTCACTATAGGGCGCGTGCGCTCGCCAGACAGACAGAGAGAAGACAGAGAGACAGAAAGCGAGAATTCACCCCCCAGGGGGGGATGGCCATGCTGCAATCCCTTCTCCTCCATTCTCCTCTCGGGATCTTGGGCATGCACGCACATGCACCCGGTGGGGGTTTTAAGCCACCGGGTCCAGGACACGAACCGCGGTCGACTACGTGGGAGTTCAGTGACATAGCCATTACGCTAACTGCTGGTCCCGAATGGGTTTGTTTTTAAGGCTGTGGCTAATTTTGATAGAGGTTAGCTATCTCAGGAGACAGCAAATAAACAGGTGAAATGAGAAAACAAATATTTATTCCATTCGGTATCTTTGGGGAACGGGACTTGTGGATGTACATATTTTACAGTATTTTAGGCCTCGGCTTGCTTGGCATTCAACCCAGCAGCAGTATGAACTTTGAGATCAAATGATCATCTGGTAGCAGAAGCTGCTACAGGAATATTGCTGCCCATGGAAAGATGACAGTTCTGAACAGTGGATTCCCGAAATGCAAGAGGTCATATGAGGCGGACTTTACAAAGTTTACATAACAAAGAGCAATTCTGTTAACTAAAATGATTAATTCCCGTCAGTACACATCAAACGGAACTGTTACAAAACGTTATTGTCTGGGTTCACATTGCATAGTAAGGGTTTTTCACAAGTTCCATTTCCAATAACTCTTTTGACAAAGCTAAAGGTTTTTTTTTTTTTTTTTTTGGGGGTGATGGTGAATAGGCATTAATTTCCAGAGGAATCTATGAATGGTGCTGAGTAGGCTGCCGTCTTAAGTGTGAGATATGTCACACTGATGTTGTGGCAGGAAAAACACAACAGCCCATCTGAGGAATGAGGGCCTTCCAGGGATCTGGGATTGAGGAAAAGTGCCCAGGCAGTACAAAGGCTGGTTTGTCCTTCTCTTCAGAGACAATGGGGTATTTAAAAGGCTCACAGCATCAAAATTCTAACTTAGTCCTTTAAGACATTTTCAAGTTTATATCCCACTGTGGACAGTAAGAATGAGTGGAAAAAAACTCCGTTTTATGAACTCTCTTGCAATGAAGTTGGCAACCTTATTTTGAAGATATTATTTGCCTGTAAGTACAGTTATTCTTGAAAAGTCTCATGGTTTAATGAGCCCGTTTTGTGCTTCTAAGAGAGTTGTGGTAAGAATATGAAGAAAGCACTGAGCTCCCAAATCAAAAGGTCTGGATTTGAACGTCGATTCTGCCAGTTATCCGGATGACCTTAAGCCTGACATCACCATTCTCCTCATTTGTAAAGGATAATAACTGCCTCTGAGCCTATTTCTCAGGGATGCTATGAAAATCAAAAGCAATGATGTATGCACAAGTTAAAAAGAGTTTCAGAAATATAACTGAACATTGTCACTAACATTCCTATATAGATAATTTTCTCACTTAGAATAAAATCTTGAGGAGAGTTTCAACAGGCAAGTTACAATCCTTATCCTTTGAATAATGACTTTCTTAGGCTATTGAATCTCTTCGGCTTCCTGGTAATTTGGATAAGTTATCTGTTCCAAAATGACTGTTAGAAATGGGCTAATAGAGCATCTAGGGGTGGGGGAATATGTAATCTCTGCCCAGATGCCTTACATTATTCTCATTTTCTAAAGCTAGTACATCGCACATGAGTTTGCTTTATTTTATTCTTCCTGTTTGGTCAATCTAGTAAAAGTGAATTGTCAAGATTAGCATATGTTTCTACATAAAAATGACCTGTTCCTTAGTGCCAAGGAACTAAGATCCCAGTTGTAAAATTAAAATTCTAACACTGGAAGAAAAATATCATGTTAACATTTAAAAAGTGTACAGTTTTCCTTAGATGCAGCATATGTATGGTTTGTTATAGGGCAGCCAAAATAAACTGCATTAAATAGTCCATCTACATTGTGTTAATTCCCATGTACAAAGCTTTTTTTCATGGGTGAGGCTAACATTTATGAGTTCTTCCTGAATTGTTTTTTTTTTTTTTTCCTCCTCCTCTGCTTTCAGTGGCCAGTCATCTTTAAGAATCAAGTGGAAATATCGCACCAGACCTGAAACTTATTTTTGGCATAAATGTTTCTAGAATGGATTATAACAGGTGCCTAGGAAAGGTTAAACAAATTATGCAGTGTCCTTGCTCAAGCAGAAATGATCTTGGAAAGTCACCTTGGACGGCATTAGGAGAGATTACTTCTACAGCACAAAGGCAGATCCTCTCCTCTCTAACAAGGTTTGCAGGCGTTTGAGGCAGACTTTTATATTAAGAGGTTATGTAGTGTATGCCAATGTTCAGGAAAAGGAGAATAAGAAAACATTTTGTTTGAGAAGCTTCCAGACCCCTAA